AACCGATACCCTCCATACAAGCACCATTGGATGTGTGAGTGTGTGTGTGTGAGTGTGTTCATTCAAGAGCTTAATTCATATTTAAAGTTTCTATGGAAGTTTTTGTGGATATATAATGTGTGGTGCTGCTATGGAGCCCACTAAGCTACAGGTCAATAAAGATATTTTGTCAGTAAATCCAATGAATAATCAATTATCTCTATATGTATTGTAATTATCATGTTGGCTATGATCTGTTCTGAACAGCGAATATGAACTGCTACCATCTAATCGGAGATACAAGGTCCTGCGATTAAATAAAGTCAGTCTGAAGCATCCTTTGTGCTCCAGCCAGTCCTCTCATAAACACAGAGCTGAATCCAGATCAAATGCTCGCTGAAGGCTCTGAGCAGCTTCTCTCTTACTGATCGTGCTGTTATGTTAAATGTTTGTTGTTTGTTTTCCATGTATTGTGTCTTGATATTTCTCTGTTGATGTTACACATGGAGCTGCTGTGAAGCAAGTCACATTTCAGACTTGATCTGACCATTAAAGTATTATCGTATATCGTATCGTATCGATCTAGCAGCTTTCGCCCCAACAGGAAGCTCTCTCTCACCTGCAGTAAGATCTTGTTCCCATCGTAGTCCTCAGTCTGCCAGCGCACCTCACTGATGGGGCTGCAGGGTTGAGGCAGCAGGGGAACCAGCGTCCCCACGTCTCGGACCCTCACCTCCATCACAGCTGACTCCATCACCAGCGGACTCTGACCTCTCGGCAGCCTCTTGAACGACAGCTGGATCTCCATATCGGGGTTGGAGTAAACCACGAAGAGGCAGAAGTCCTCCTTCTTCTGCGACACCCTGCGCTGAAGCAGCAGCTTGTAGAGCCGCACCATGTCCACGTAGTTCTCATGCCGGCAGTAAACTGTGAATCGCACTATTTCCTTCCCGTAGTGGACCTGACGAACGGCCCACAGCGGCGTTCCAGACGACAGAGTGAAGAAGTCCTGACTGCACGGCGTCAGAGGTAACATCCGGCGGCCATTGCTGACTTTCTCCGTGTGGTGGTATCTCCACGGAGGTCTCTGCAGAGCGCGGTGCAGACTCAGGATCTGTTCCTCGCCACCGTACGCCTCCTGGAGGAAGACGATGACCGCCATGGACGGTTGGCTGGGTGCCATTGGGCCGTTCTGATGGTTCTGATGGTGCTTCGGCCGGGAGACGGAGGCCCGCTCTGAGACCCTGAAGAGCTGCAGCTCGGGGTGAACCCACGCCAGCAGGCCATCAGCCGCGCGCTGCAGGAACCGGCCCTGACCCGGGTCGGCAATGAGATGGACGCTGACGAGGAAGGGGTCCTGGAACTCGCCCATGAAGAACTCGCCTCCACAGACAACAGCATCGAGACAAGAGAGAGAGAGCAAAGGGAGGAGAAATGGGACGAGAGAAAGAAAAGAAGAGATAACATTATTATTATTTATTTGTTGTTTTGTTTGTCTGACTGTTTTTTGTTTACTCCGGTTTTTCTGTAAAGCGACCTTGGGTCCCCTGAAAGGCGCTATATAAATCTAAGTTATTATTATTATTAACATTATAATCAGCTTGTAGAATTTGAGAAAACTATTTAAACATGGACACAAGCATACAAATAAATCATGTCACCTGTAACCGACAACATCAATTGGGTTACATTGATGTGTAGTTCAAGGTGTAGGTGACCGACGGATGCTGAAGAATGACTGTCTGTTACGAACTGTTCAAACATTTTGAATTCTTCAGAATATGAGGGTAAACATGTGGAATGGGTGTGTGGTATATTTGTATGAACGCAACACACATGTCCACTACACACAACCAAAAACTCTATGATTCCATGAATGCAACAGCTAGGGGGATGATGTGGAATAGTCCAAGTAGCAGCAACAATGGGGGGGTTCCATACATTCATGAATAGTGTTTTAAGAATATTTATTTCTGCAATATCTTTGCATGGCACCTACAGAAGGCTTGAGGTTAGACTACAAGTGAACTTTTGGGGACAGCAGTATCTCGGTCTGCTGAGACTTGGCTTTGTAAGCAGAGGGTCGCTGGTTCAAGTCCCCAAACGGACCAAGTGTTTGCCTTCTGGGCACGACTTAGGTGCCCTTTAAAAGCCACTGGACACCTACACTGCTGCCTGCTTTATTAGCCCCCACTGGTCCTAACATTAGGAGGGGTTAAGTGCAGTGTCTAAGTTTCAGTGTCCTGTGCTTGTGTGCCGATAAAAACCGATTCAAATAAAGAGATTGTGATGAAATAAATCCAAAATGAACGTTATTCCTTGGGATACCGGGCTGTCATTTCAATTTGTTAACCTCTTTGTTCAAGTTCTTGGATCCCTCTCTTCCCCTTCCTTCTCCATTTCACTCATCCACATCTAACTCCATCTTTCTCCCATTTTCCATGTTTACCTTTCTCCCCCCTCTCTCCCACTAACCCCCCCCACCCCACCCTCTCCTCTCCGGCAGACCCATGTGGAGCAGGTCTTCTCAGTGGAGGCTCATTAGTGCCATTAGGAGGTCATTACTGAAGCCCGGAGGAATGTTCCAGACCCACAGCAGGAGCGATTCATTCAGGTGCGCCCCCCCCCTGAATCGCTGACCTGGAAAAACTCCCTGGCACAGGTAGCGCAAAAACCCCACTGAAAAGTTCCCAAAGTCATATTTACCCGGTGTTTTCATTCTTACTTCTACACACCGTATCAGCCCATCTCCATGTTCTCTGGTTTTCCAGAGGTCTTTATCTGCCTCCTCGGGGGACTTGTCCCATTTCGCCTGTGCTGTGAGGCTGTTTTAGAGAAGGACACACAGTCTTCTTGTCCCTGGCACAGCGACTGTTCGGCTGCTGCCAGAATCCATGAAACAGAGAGGCCGAACTGTCTCATGAGTCCCGCTGGCCTTTTAGCAAAAGCACAGTTTCTACGTGACCAAAGAGGTGACATTTCCTAAATGTTAGGATCACGTTACGAGGAAACGTTGCTTAAAGGTGAGAAGACAGGGGTCATGTTTCTGTACACCTGTGATGTCAGAAATGAGATTTTAAGCAACCAGTCTTGGGAACATTTATTTGACATTTTGACAAACAGTTTGGATAAACATATGCAATACTTTCATACGGGTATTCGGTTTTAAGAGGAGTGTTCTTCAGGGACTACAGGTGGTAATCAGCTAGTAGCTACATCTTGTACAAACCTTCAGTCTTTATTTATTTCTATAATTTTTGGGGAAGACGAATCTATAAAAAAGTCATTCCAACATAAAGTTGAATTGCATTCTTGTCAACATTTTCTGCCTGCAGGTGAGACCATTGGGAGTGTACAGTGGGACTTGAACCCCTAACTTTACTTCTGAAGGGCAAAAAGAATCCCTGTGTGTTACACTTGAACGTCAATTAGTGTATTTACACATTCTATAACCTAAAATTGTTAGAAGCCAGCTAAACCTGAGGAAATGTGATCAGGTGGTTTGAAAGGAAATTCAATAAGCTGATTCACATTCTATAAAAAAGCCATTAAACCCTATAACACAAAGTGTCCTCGTGTGGCCTGAAGAGATACGCTAATACGACAGGATCAAGAACGACACACACACACACACACACACACACACACACACACACACACACACACACACACACACACACACACACACACACACACACACACACACACACACACACACATAAATGCACTAATAGGCGTTTACTGTGGAAACTTCTGTTCAAAAATATTGGCCAATACCAAATTATCTATACTACATGTGTGTGTGCCTGCTTCTATAAATACAATTCATAAAGTACTAAAATTAACATTGAAATCCTCTTGACCTTACAAATGACAAACAAAACATACAAACACATTTTTTTTATTTGCACAACAGTTAAAGAGTTAAACAACAAATATTTAACTTGTTATTAGTGTTGACCGTTAGAATGTGTGTATTGCCAAGTATGTTGTGGATTCAAAAGTGTAGAAGTCTAGGAAAGAAGCTCTGGTTGTTTGGTTCTGATTGACTGACACCAACACATTTTAACATCATTTCCGTAGGTGTTTTAGTTGACTCCCTTTCAGCTTGATGTAACATCATCTTTTCGTCAATTAAATCTGTTTCAACATGCCTATGTCCTTTATTATACCAATGCCCACACACTGTACGGTACTAAGGTCATGTCCTGTTTGCAGCAGACTTGTGGTTTGTGTGTGAGTAGAACACATGTGTGAAAAGGGAGTGATCAGAGACATTTCCACTCCCCTGCTTCAGCCCTGACCAGCATCCATATTTCATAGCCAGCAATGTGCCACACCACACAGATGTGAACAAGAACACACACACACACACACACACACACACACACACACACACACACACACACACACACACACACACACACA